AAGCTCTTTTAGGGTTCCTACCATATCTAGTTCTAAGTCTGTCGATTGTTGGTTTTACCGAGTCGTTCACGTTTTTTTTGCTTGTATTCTGTACGTGATGGTTGGGTCTTATGTTTTCCTCAAAGGGTTTAGATCAGAGTTCCGTAGTCATTGATTTGTCTAGAGGTCCTGTGTTGGGTTGCTTTTGGCAGTTCAAAGTTTTGATGCCTTGTGTTTGGGGGCTTTGGCCTTGGCAGCTTTTTATGAGTCTGCCATGACAATCCTTTCCCTTCGTGGAGGGATTGTTTTTTTATTCCAAGCCCCTGTTTTTCAGGCATCATTTGTTCATGAGCTGTACTCTGCAACTTGTTAATTATGTAATGAACTCTCTATCTGCCCTTTGCGATGTATGCTTTGAATTATAATGAATAAAATTCTCAGTCGTGTTTTATGATATAAGATTGTGATCTTGATTTCATTTTTGTTCTAATTTAGTCATATTCTTTCCGCTCCAAAGATGCGAAAATGATGTAAGCAATTCTCGATACTGTGGAAGCTGTAAACGCGTGCCAAATTATGTGAGCTCGCTTTCTGCGAAGCTTCCTTGGCATGTGTTTTGGACATTTCAAAAATGATGACCATAGATTCAGCCTTTGTGGCAGAAGTCCTTGGAAGGAGAAACACGGGTAAAACGGGTATAATATTGTTTTGCCATTCTTGGCGGTCAAGCGTGATAAATTTTTCATGTGACAGTTTGTAATTGGTTGAGAATAACAAAAAAATACTATCTCAATTCAATACAAGTTTTTCCGTGGAGGTTTGAAGGGCCAAATAAAACTTTTCTAAGGGAAACTGTGGAGATAGAAATAAAGGTCGAAGAGCATGTGGGAAGTTAACTTTTTTTGTTTTTTTGTTTTCTCTGGCCCATGACCTTTAGTTAAAGGCACCTACAACAAGATTGTTTGTATATCTTGATGATGGTGGGCTTGATCTAGTTCACATTTGCCTCTCTATAATGGTGGTTGCCCTAATTATTCTTGTCTCTATGATTGCTGTCTTGTCTTGTTCACACAAGCAAAACACGCATTCATGGAAAGTGGAGCCTTACTAGAATATGATGGTGGTGGTGATGGTGGTGGCAAGTGATAACCACTAATAAGAGTTTGTGCCAAATACTTGAGAACCACATCTCTAAAAGCTTGAATTAATGCAAGTCCTGGAAATTGTTTTATTAATTTGGAAATTGGAAGACAATTTTGCTTTTTCCATTTGATTTTTTTTTTTGTTGCCACATAGCAGACAGCCTGTTCATGTTAATCATAGAATACCACTAGCAAGAGTATTTCTTTTTCAGTAAATTTAGGTTTTAGCTACAAAAAATAAAAATTCACTTTTGGAAAAAGCCAAAACTTTTCTGAAGAAGACAGAAAAACCTCTTAACTTTCAAACTAAAGACATGCAAATGTAATAGATTCTTTAGGAAATCCAAAAATTAGTAAAGGCATTTTTATCTATTTTGGCTCTTTAAAAAATATTTATCTCTCCTTTGGTCTTTTCTATATGAGTAACCAATCATTTACTCCAAAAAAGGTTATGCTGTTATCGTCTGAATCAAGTTAAAGAAGAGGATTGAGTTTTACATTCACTGTTTGCTTAGGTCGATTTCATGTTCATATCTCCATTTCAAAGCAAATCAGCTCTCTCTTCAAAAGCTTTTGATACCCTATTAGTCAATCAATGGTCGGAAGGCTGTTGTAAATTGCAAGAAAGTGGAAGAAAGTGGAGAAAAATCGAAAGAAATTGCATAGGATGAACTGGATAAATCAAGGAAAACAGAGAAACTGAAGAAAATGCAGGAAAACTGCAATAGACCTGGTTATACATGCCCAAATAAGGGTGTCTTGGTCTCTATGTAGCCGGTTGTGGCCTTGCGGTTGCATACCACAACCGGATACATAGAGACCACGGCCACAAAAGACTCTGGTACTGCCTTGTGGTTTTTGTTTCCAACACTTAAGACTCACGTCTAAACCAAGCAAAAAGTTTTGACCCAAAAAAAAACCCCAAGCAACAGTAAACAGCTTGGCTTGTTGTTGACCTATAAAACTAGCTCCATCCTGGTTTTCTCATAAATTGCACAAACCATGGTTCGATGTCAAAGCCATCTAACTTCGAAATTACCCTGCTTGGAGTTGAAGTAACATAAGAAAGCAAATAGGTCAGGATATTTACATCACAAAATCAGCCTTGATTGATTCCACAATTCCTAATTGTTCAACAAGACAGCTTAAACAGGATATATTTCCAAGCACGAACTATCTAACAAAAGTTTCCAAAATTTTCCCCAAGTCTTCTTCCCAATTATCTGGCCAACTAATGCAATGCTTAAACATATAAATTAGACAAAACAACCTGGCACATAGTTACATACAGTGCGGAAAACTGGAGTGCAGAATTCCAATGACAAGACCAGCAACCTTGAAAGCAAGCAAGCACACAACAACAACCATGCTGCTGACTACAGACAAGACAGACATCACAAAACTATAATGCAAAATTCTTCATGCCTTCTTCGTCGAATTGATTCAGGTATAATACCTTTCTTATTTTCATAAACGGAGTCTTTTGAGGGCTCTCTCTGGTGCATCCAGTTTTGTCCATACTTTGTACTCAATGCTCCAAGGCTATAGGTTCTTCTTGAACATAGATGGGATCATGTTGCTCTTCAACCACTGTCTCGTCATCTGTATGGGGCTGTGCTTCACTTGTCTCAGCCTTCGGAACTGCCTCCTGCTCTTGGGTGTCAGATCCAGCTTCACTTTTTGCATTGGGCAAGATGGCATTCTCCTCATTCATTGCATCAATTAAGTTGTTTTTTCCCTCATTTGTTGTCTTAGAAGTAATTTTTCGCTCATTCCCCGCATTAGGTAAAGTGGTCTTTTCAGACGGCAGTCTAGGAAGAGACTTCCGTTGTGGCTTCTTTGGATGCACAGGAGAAGGCCCTTTAGCAGAGTTCTGAGGAACTTTCTCATCCAGACTAAGCCTGCTTGATCGATCATTGGTATTACTGTTTCCTTCAGAAACAGCAGGAGGTAAGCTCTTTCTACGGCCGAGCTTGGGAGACTTAGCCCTTGTTGTTGGTATCTGCATCCATTGCAATAAAGATGTCAAGGCCAAAACAAACTTCACTAACAATCCCATATCCAATAAATAAATTAACCCTGAATGCTGTCAAATAACAACAAAGTACAGTGAAGCAGGATTATCATGATGTCATGCCCGCTTTAACCAAAAGTAGGCCTATAGGAACCCATTAGAGAAACCCTCAGATGCAACTTAGGAACTATATAATCTAAACATAAGTAGGAATTCATGTTCAGATTTTATATTAGTCAAGAAAACTGACACAGATTCCTTTTTCTCATTGCAAGGAGGTTAACAAAAAACTGAGAATCCATTTCTGCACACGCACTTCTTCATATACTTCCAGTCGACTATCAAAATGAAAATGGTAATAGCTTGGTGCAGTATTGGGTACAAAGAAACTTGTCAACAAAAACCAGATATGAGTAGTTGTTCCCACCAGCAAATTGAATGGGGTAAGATGATGTGTTATGATTGAGTGATTTATAACTTGTATGATTGGCATGGTTAACATTTGCAAATTGCCAAGGATGAAGGAGGTATGAACTTAAAAGTTTAAGTGATAATAGATGCATTCTGTTCATATCATGCCTGAAATAAAAGAAAGGGTACAATACAAAAGAATAGGCAATTAACTTAAGACTAGTAAATCTACACACTAAGGGAACATTGTCCACGGATACACATGCCACTAAACTAAGAAATATAAGCACAAATCCATGGGAAGATCTACCTCAGGAATCCATACTAATGCACGTAAGACAACTGTAAAGTAAGAAAACTAGCAATGCAACCAACATGAGTCCAACAGGGGCATGGTCACTAAAGAACACGCTTGCATTACAAATCACCATTCAGAACCTTCTCAAATAATATATTTGCACACCCTGCGACTAATCTATACATAATTGAAAAATGAATTCTCCAAACTATAGCAACCAAATCAGATTCACCAGAAGACTGCCACTTACACATGAACAAAAGAAAATGCACTATGCCATTTGTGATTTTAAAAAGAAATAGAATACCTTCTTTAGCTCCACCTTAGGAGGTGGAGGCTCCTGATAGAAGCTTGGCATTGGAGTTGCTTTAAAAGTCAGTTTCTTCCTGAGCATCCTAATCTCAGCTTCTAGAGTTTCCTGTAAAAGAATGGAATAATTTCAAATTAAGAACAGGTTGCACGAGCATGTTTATCGTTAAAGATTGATTGAATACCACCTTAGACTTGGCCTGCAAATTATTCTTCTCCATCTCCTTTGCATGTATCTTTTCCTCGAGTTTAGTGTAGAACTGCCAAATGTAATTGTAAACATTACATTGATAACAGAAATAATGCTGGAGGACACAGCATAAAAAGAGTAGAAGATGCAAACGCAGAAAGCTAACCTCTCTCCTTTTCTCAGCTCGTTCATCACACCTAAAACTGAAACCGTAGTTCGGAAGTGTACTGACCCTAGGCGGTTTCATGTCTCCTTCT